GCGTGGATGCTAACTAAGCACAGGATTTGACACGGACTTGCACGCACTGACGTGTGGTCACCGGTTGGCCACATGCTGGCTGTGGCTGAGTGGTACCAGACACTCTGGTACGTTCTTAACTGCCATAAATCCTTATATCTTGTTGCACTGACTGGATCTGGAAGTGGTGTTGACGTTCCCTTTGATGCTCGTGGGGTGCTTGGAGGGTGACCTCACAGAAGAGCCCTGCTTTGTGCAGGGAGGTGCAGGCAGAGCTCAGCCTCAGCTCTGGAACATTGGAAGAGGTACAGGAAGCCTCCACCATCAGCAGCCCAGTGTGACTGGTTCCCTGCAGTGGATGTCCATGAACTGAGGGTTCTGTGTGTTTCTTGTAACTTAAATATAGCAAGAAAATGGAGCAAGTGTTTTTTCTTTGAGTTTTCTGACTTGTCCCCTGGCAGTTTTGCCCAGAGATCCCTGTACAACGTCAGCACTCAAAGGCCTCCTCTTCCTTTTTTTCTGTAACAGTGAAGTTATTTTTAATGACCAAAATAAACCCGTGCTTTTTTAAAACAGGGTGCCGGAGCATCTAGTGAGGAGCATAACCTGGCAGACCCTCCAAGCTGTGAACTTCTGCCATAAACACAATGTAAGTCCCCTAACCAGCACTAACGATTCCTGTAACCTGGCTTTGGAGCAGAAGGAGATTCTCTTGCCATTTTCCTGATTACAGAGCTTTCGTGGCACAGTCGGATGAAATTCCTGTTCTCAACAGGAAATGTGTATCTGAAATATTAGGGTGCACCCACAACAGCTGCATTTACTACCACACAGATCCCTTGGGTTTGCTGTCAGGGAATGATTTGCACTAATGACCTTAGAGAAGCTCCCAAGCTGAACAGGGTCTATGTTCCTTGTAGGTTCCCTGTGCCGTGCGTTAGAACTGACGTTTGGAAAACTGGCTTAACTTCTCATCAGCTGAGACCTGAACAAACTGCTGCTGATTTCACAGGAGGTCCTGCTGTTGATAGTCATAGGCGTTGAATCATGACACCGCTTAAAAGGTTTCAAAAATTAGACACAATAAACCAGTTTTGCAACCCCTCCCCTGCTTTCTGGAGAGAGGTGTGAGTTGTGTGCATGGCGAATGTTTTGCAGAAAGCAGTGGAGATGCTTTAAGAAGCAGGGAAGGAAAGGAGCCTTTTGGAGAGGTTCTTTAGGCAAACTTAGCTATAGTTGTCTTTGATTTTGTTTACCTGCCAATATTTGAGGTTTAAGAGTCAGGCAGGAGATCTCTCTGGAATGGGTGTTTTGTCTTTGCTGGGAGAATTATGTCCAGCCGAGCCACAGGAACTTGGCCACAGGTCCGTCCCACTTCCAGGATTTGTTGTTTTGCTTCTTTATTCTGTTCCTCCTCTCACTCCGAAAGATTTAATGGAGTTTTAAAGCAGAGGGAACAATGAGATGCTGCAGTCTGACCTGCCGTAGATCACAGGTAATGAGGTTTTATGCAGCTGCCCTTTTGGAACTCCATGACACTGGTTTTAAAAGCAGCATTTCAGTCCTCAGGAGGCGACACAATAATTTGGCACCAGCTTAGCTAGGAAAAATCCGAGGTGTTTGTGCTGAGGCAATGGTAGGGGAGGGACAACATGAGCTAGACCCTGGTAGTTTCAGCAGAGCACACCTTTCATACATAGGCAGAAGAAATGAAGGTCTCTGCTAATCTGATCAGCAGAAACTCTTTGGCAAGCCCAAATTCAATTGCTGTGAACCTTCAGCAAGCAAGCTCGCTTCCCAAGAATCAAGAATTGCTGATGTTGGAAGGGACCTCTGGAGATCATCTAATCCAGCCCTCCCATTCAAGCTGGGTCAGCTAGAGCAGGCTGCTCAGAAACTTTTCCAGTCAGGGTTTGAATATCTCCAAGGATGGAGGCTCCACAGGCTCTCTGGGAAACCTGTTTAGATATTTGGCCACCCTCACAGTAAAAAAAAAAAAAAATCATGTTTAAATGGAATTTCCTGTGTGTTCAATTTGTGCCCATTGCTTCTTGTCCTTTCACTGGACTCTGAGGAGAGCCTGGCTCGGACTTCTTTACTTGTTCCCATCAGGTGTTTATACGTATTGATAAGATCCCCCCTAAGCCTTCTCTTCTCTCCAGGTTGAATGATGATCCCAGCTCCCTCAGCCTCTCCTTGGATGTCAGATACTCCAACCTCTTAGTTGTGTTAGTGGCCTTTCACTGGAGACACTCCAGTATGCCCACGTCTTCCTTCTACTGAGGAGGCCAAAGCTGGACACAGAACTCTGGATGTGTCTCACCTGTGCTGAGCAGAGGGAATGCCAGGGATGCTGTGGCACCTACAAAGATAGATGAAGTCCGTTGTCTAAACCACAGCCTTCATCTCATCTGCGAGCTTTGCCAGCAAAATCCTTTGCTTGCCTACCAGATTGTCAGTAAATCCAGTTCATGGATTTGGTCCAAACTGATCCCAGGTGGCCCTACGCACAGAAGCACCTCTCATTAGGATCTCCCCACGAATTTGTAGAACTCAGCCCCTTACCAGGAGTGTGTTACACGTACTTGTATCAAGTGAGTTGCGTTTGCAGAGAGCGAGGTTAACAACAACCCTTGCTATGCAAACCACGCTCCTCCCGCTGGCTGATTCCCAGCTGGTGCTGGGGAGCTGACTCCGTGTTGTCCAAGTGATACAGAGCTACGCAGCTCAAGCTGGGAGCCTGCACAGTGCCTCAGCCCAAAGGTGGGGTGTAGGCAGGGTGACTGCCAGCCCCAGCAGGACATGGCTTTAGCTGCTGTTCAGAAATCCTGGCATCTTCTCTTTCA